TGTTAAAGTAGTCGCTGATCAGCCATGCTTTGTCGCCCGTTTGCCGTGGACTTGATGTTTCAATGAATAAATATTTGCCTGTGGGCGACATGAAACAAAAAAGTTTATATATCAAAATATATCAAGGAGTGTTCAAAAAGTATCATTAAAGGCCCAGTCACACTACACAACGATATGATAACTTGTATACGCGCGCTGATTGGTCAAAAATTTATCGTTATCGTCCGACTGAAAAAAATCGCCCGGGCACAGAATACTACACAGAAGTCCATCTCAATTGTTTTCTGCGTAAGCGTTATTCGTCATGATTCGTCACTCAGCAAGTACCGTAAACAGAAGCAGTCACCCCCCTGGACATTCGCCATTTTTAGTATTTCCAGGGGGGACTGCTTCTGTTTACGGTACTTGCTGAGTGACGAACCATGACGAATAGAGCTTACGCTAAAAACAATGGAGATGGACGTCTGTGAAGTATTCTGTGGATCGGGTGAGCGATTCTAAAATCGTTATCGTTATCGTACGATAATTTTATCGTTTCGTTGTAGTGTGGACACCAACATAATTTTTTCACCAATCATCGCGTGTTTACAAGTTATCGTATTGTTATCGTTGCGTAGTTTAACTTGGTCTTAACACACAACAAAGCTTACATATTAACCCAGTAGCAAGGATTTCAAGCCATAAATTGACAAACCTGACGAAGAGCCTTTCCTGTCAGCACTAGGACCAGTCAAGTAACTCGACGTGCCACCTGAATTGGCTATCCAATCGAATTTATCCCCCTGTGCAACGTTGTTCCAGAGACAATCTGCTGTTGTCAGACTGGTTTGGAAAGTACAATCACCTGGACGAAAAATATAATATAATAAATGGTAGAACTAAACTAATTTTATTTATACCGGACAGCTCTATCAGTTCTAAACTGTTCTACCTCGAGATTCAGTAAGAATCATCTCTTATTGATCCAGTGTTACTACAGGAGGAAACCTAAACTAAACTAACTTTATTTATACTGGATAGCGTATCAGTTCTAAACTGTTCTCCTTAGAGGAAAGTGTATAAATAACAAACTTGCCAGGTAGAATACATTCACCAGTTTTCATGTTAATGTCATCGAGCGCAATGTCGCCTTGAAATGAAGTACCACGCACAGCTTCGAACATTAACTGAAACAGATACAAGGTATATGTACTGACCGAAGTCAAGATTTTCGCACAGGATGGACGAGTAACGAGTAAAGAATGATAACTCCAGGTGAAAAAATCATTCATAATCAGTGGCGGACACTTCGCGAGATATTTGGGGGAATTTGGTGTCCGTTTAAGGCTTTAAGTTACGCGTGAAACTTACAGTATACTTTCCCTGTGTGATATTAACGGTCGTTTGAGCTTTATACCACGTGTTCCCTTGGTTAAACGACCGACTCCAGATTCGTAACTGCTTTCCATTCTGTATGGTGTACACGTTCAGTGTGTTAACAGTCCTCCCATACATATGATACCAAAATTGCAGACAAGATTTAGGACCGTTCGCTGTAAAGTTCTTTTGTACGGTTGCCGTTGCATTCCTTTTCTGCGCGCCAGACGTCTCGTAGTAGATGTAATAACCTACATATGATAAACAGAGTAAATGATAAATCCCAATACATCCTTCTGGAAAGTACTTCATTATCACTATCTATCACCATTATCACTATCATCACCACCATCACTATCATCACCATCATCATCATCATCATCAACAGTACCATCACCATCACCAACATCATCACTAACATCAACATCATCACTGTCATCACCATCACCAAATCATCATCACCAACACTACCATCACTATCATCACCATCACCAACATCATCACCATAAACCACCATCATCACCAACACCAACACCAACACCAACACCAACACCAACACCAACACCAACGCCATCATTATCACTATCATCACCAACATCATCACCATCATCTGTTCATCAACATGAGCACCAACACCACCATCACCATCATCACCACCAACACCATCACCAACATCACCACAATCACGAGCTGTACATTCACCAAAAAATTTAACTTCGACACTCACCTGCTGAACTTCCTGTTGTGTGGTCAACCGACGGTCCAGTGCTACCACTTGGGGTTCTACCCTTCCTTCTTATCCATCTGCCAGCCGCGACGTAATTACACCAATCTTTCTCGAACGTACACAAGTTTGCTGTCACAAAAAGAAAAAGTGAGTTAGTGAAAAAGTGAGTAAGGCTGCATTCAGACTGGGTGCCCGGCACTGGTGCCCGTCATTTGTTTTGGCGCCTAGTTTGAACACGACGCTTCCAAATGAAAATGGGCATAGTGCCCAAGAAAGGGCATTACTTCTAGAGGTAGTACTCAACAACGGCACTGTGCTCGACATGTTTTGAGAACCAGTTTTAACACTGAACGCATCCTAAGAGAATTAAACTATTTCAATTTTTTGATCCGAGCTTAATTCGTAAAACAATAAATGAAACTTACGATCAAATGAACAAGATCCTTTCGTGATCTCGATGTCATCAATCGATATATCCCCTCTGTATCCAATACCACGGCTGGCTGAGAATATCAACTAAATAGGAAATAAAAATTAAGCAATAAGAACTAATTTATCAAGGGATGAAGCACGCGGTTTTTCAATAAACTGCAATAGATTGACAGAAACTGTACAAGGCAGGGCTTGAATTTTATCGCGGCAATGGACCATTTGCGTAATAGACTAAATTTTCATCTCAACAAAAATTTCATCACAGCTTGAAAGAGCATCACAAAATTAGTAATATTCCAAAATTTCGTTGCAAAATGTTGTAAAATGCGGAAAATATAGCCTTGCGAAATTTTCAATTTTCAGTCATTTTAGATTACAAACCGGAAATTGACAGCCTCGAAGGGTTTGGGGCTGTCAATTTCCCGTTTGTAATCTAAAATGACTGAAAATTGCAAATTTCGCAAGGCTATATTTTCCGCATTTTACAACATTTTGCAACGAAACTCTGGAATATTACTAATTTTGTGATGCTCCTTCAAGCTGTGATGAAATTTTTGTCTAGACTTGTTTAGTTCAAAATTTAGTCTATTACGCAAATGGTCAATTGCCGTAGAGGGAGAACAAAATGCCGTGGATCATTGCGGCAACGACGGCAATTTTTTGCCGTATAGTATAATTTTTATACTATTCACTGTGCATTACTATTTTGATACTTGGATTCAGATGTTGATCAAATCATGCGTGAACTACTATTTTAGTCTCAGTTTTCTTCGAAAAAAAACCCCACTACAGTAAAGAAATACGCAAAGATGTTTCTAGCTTGTCAGCAATCCAAAGTAACAATAAAATTAAATTTTTATAGTACAGTAATTTGAAAAAATGCCGTGGAAACTGCCAAAATTGCCGTAGACAGCTGTTACGTTCTACGGCAATTTTTAACGCCATTGCCGTCGATTGATTTCAGGGAAATTCGAGGCCTGGTACGAGGTGGTTGAACACATTGGGTCTGATCTAACCGTCCAACCCAGGCCTTAAAATGTCGGTAAGACAACCGTCTGACAAAATGTTCGGTGATTTTGAGTCGGAATATGTATTGTAATGTCCAAATGGCTTGAGTTCAGTTTGGCTTGGAAATAAATATGAATGCAGAGACAAATTAATATCAGCACAATTTGGAAAAATCATTTGAATCTTGGCAATGAATTTCCGAACCCTACGGTGAAAACCCCGCACTTGATTACACATTTCTAGTTCACTTTTTATACATTATTCTGTTTCTCCATTTAAATACGAGCCTCTAGTCCTGAGCTAGGGTACATTTTGATTTACGTTGGACAAAGTTACAGTTATGTCGGACACCAATTCACACGGGTCGGACAAACAATAAAGGGTCTTTAATCTTTAAAATTCTTTAAGCACGGTAGCCATTCAGCATGCTACGCTGATTTTCAATGGGCCGTGCACACTATACAACATATATTAACCTAATTCTATAATATAAAATAGTGAAGCCTACATACTGGTCAGCTTCACACTATAATATATACGAATACATTTTAAACAACAAATTATTCTAATTATAGTAAAAAACTACTGATATTACTGATTAACCCAAGGAGACTTAATCGGGTGTCCAATGGTTTCCTCTCTAAGCCGTACAATCTCACGAATGGGTCGGACAATGTCAGTGACCGATATTCTACTGTAAGGCCTGCCAACTGTTCTACCAGGAGTACCAGACTAAACTATGTTCACCATTGTACTCACATTGTAAGGTGTGGTAGAATTAACGTCAATTTTTCTTTGGGTCCATTGGTTTCCCTGTGTTCCTGACTTACTCCAAACAACCTGAGTGGACGAAGCATTCATTGTTACATTTAAAGCGCCAATATGAGGTCCCCACATGTGTGTCCAGAATCTTACGCACGAGCTGTTTGTTGCCGGTAGTGTCGGACTGATTAGTCGTGCAACATGACTGGTTGTTCTGCCTGAGGCTTCGATGTATACATACCAACCTATACGAAGGGGAAAACTCGTGAGATTACTAGGGGTAAGTTCATGCCCATTTTACATTGGCTCACAGTATGTATCATTAAAAAAGTATGTGTATTGTTGCATCTTGCCCAAACAATAACCACCATTAATTAGAAAAAATATGATGATGGTGATGATGATGATGGTGGTGGTGAGGATTGTGGTGGTGACGATGGTGGTGATGATGATTGTGGTGGTGATGATGGTCATAATGATGGTGGTGACTGACCAGCAATGATGGTCATAATGACGATGGTGGTGAGGATGGTCACATGATGGTGGTGGTGACATGATGGTGGTGGTGATGATAATGGTGATGGTGAAGATGGTGAGATGATGGTAGTGGTGGCATAATGGTGATGATGGTGATAATGATGGTGGTGATGATGATGGTGATAATGAAGGTGGTGATGAAGGTGGTGATGATGGTGGTGACATGATGGTGGTGGTGGCATGATGGTGATAATGATGGTGGTGGTGATGATATTAATGATGATGGTGGATATTGTCACCATCAATCATCACCATTGAAATGGAGACTATGGAGTAAGTCATGATGATGAATGTGGTGGTGAAAATAATGTTCATGGTGGTGTTGATGAAGGTACTGGCGATGGTATGATGGTGATCCAGTGATGATGATGGTTGACAGTGGTAATGATGATGATGGGCACCAGGGAAAATCAGCCTGTAAAGCTTCAAGGCATACCTGTGGGCTGACAGTTTCCCCACTTGCCACTGTAGGTAGACGTCGTTGAACACCACAGTGCCGTGTGACGTGTGTTTGTACACTTGGTGTATGTCGCACCTCTGTAGGTGAATGGGAAAGCACATTTTTGGCCAAGTGCAGTGGCCGAACCAGGCTGTGCCGATAGCTTGGTATACACTAAAACAAAACGAATTTAACCAATGAAGGCAAACACTTTTTTATTCTAAGTTTTGAAAGATTTGTAAGAAATGTCTGAGGGAACCGACTGTTTAACACAGAGCCAGTTTCATCAAACATTTCTTACAAATCCTTAAAAACTTAGAATTTACCTTTCCAAAATTCCTAACAAGTTTTTAAAGATTTACCATGTATACTATCAATGGAAAGTTCGATATTTTCCGTGATTAAAAGTAGTTTTTATAAACCATTTGACGGACTTATTTCAACTCCGGTAAAGACTGACGGACTTATTTCAACTCCGGTTAAACGTGAAACAACACGTTAACGAAACATTTATAAAATTTAAACGAAATACTAATAGAAACATTGAAACACGTGTCGCGAGTCTTTTTTAAAAACATTTGCATAAAACTATTCTAAAGTGCAAGTATGAACGGTTTTGACTAAAAACTTACGAATTTAGTTCAGTCCGATGCTTCTTGCATTCGTTTTCACATTTCAAACGCTTCATAAACCACAATTAGCTTCTACATTTTAAACGTTTCTTGTTTTACAGTGTATATAAAACCAAATTCCTCGCACAAATTGCAACCACAATTTTGAAAATTTCGCTCGCAAAAAACACAAATTTTGATTCGACGAAGAGAATCCGAATGTTACCGAGTGCTTTCCGAGCACACAATCATACTTCATGATGCAACACATATATATGGTCATCGACTTGCAAATTATGTTAATTTTTTGAAGTAACCACTGCTTTGAAAACACGAAGCCGATGACGGAGACGTTATTGCAACCCACCTCACTGATTTGACCCACACAAAGCTACCGTGTGCTGTTACCATATAATAAAAAAAAATTGCACTTTCCAATGATTTGTGAGGATGTAGAATAATAGAAATTTGCACGAATTTGCGCAACCGCATGCCAACTGTTATATGGAGATTTCAAACATACCTGCGACTGTACTACCAGTTGATGTCGTGTGGTCCGAACTAGGTCCAGTCCCAGTTGACGAAGTCGCGCCATTCTTTCTCGTCCAATCGAAATCGTCAGTGGTGTCTTGCGTATAACCGCACAGTCCAGATGGATTTTCAAAATCGCATTTTCCGTTATTTTGTGCGAATGCACCTTTGGGAAATAGAAAATATTTTTAAGTGATAAATAAATCATGAGCGGCCGTGTTGAATCAGATTAAAACTTTCTATTAATGCATTTAGTCAGGTAAAACGTCGTAGTGAACTTTACTTTTTGAACTGGTCTCGCGAGATAATCGCGAGGCATAAAACACGCGGTTCTTGACCCCAGACACGCGTATCTGGGGGTCAGATTTAGCTTCAAGAAAAAGATAGGCAGTTTATCTGAAGATAGCGTTCCAGTTATACTGCGCGCACTTGCTTCCCACTTTAATTAAAGAAACTCCTATCTACAATCTTAGTAAATTCTAACAAGGCAATGTTTCAGTTTTTTTAGCGACAAGTATGGGATATTTATCATTTTAATATTGATAATGATATATAATTCGGTATAGTTAGTAGTTTATAGACGTAGTTAAGATCAGTTAACAGTTAGTAGTTACTTGTATTGTAAGTTTTTATTCGTGGAGGGCCACTGGTTTGTCAGTTTTACTGTTAATATGTGTCTACCCTCCATAAATAAAGTCGATAATAATAATTAGGGAGAAACCTAATCACAGAGAAAAAAAAGTTAGACTGCTAGTCTACTATTGAGCAATTCAACACACGCGGGATGCTAGCTATTAATAGTCAAATAGAAGGTCAGCGAAGGGCTAAGAAATGGATAACACAGACTTTTTTCATATATAGGTCTTCCAAGGTGACGATGGATTACGTTAAGAAAATATAGTTCAGGTTTCATAAAGATATGTCATGACCCCTAGGGTTGCGCAAGGATTGCGAAATGTGCATGAGAGGCGATGCGGGTCGGCGGTAAAACGCGAATGAGATATCATCAATTCACCCTGCATTAAAATTTGAATAATAAGTCTCCTGACCCAAATCAATACAATCTTCTAAGCCTAAGGCTTGCTATATAGTCACAATATGAAGGATTATTCAAAAATGCTTTTTCTTATTTTAGTTGACGGATTACTCAAGAGTGTTTTTTTGGTGTAAAAAGATTTCAGCAAATTAAGCGGTTTTATTTCCAAGAATAGTGCAGAATGACGCGCGCACTTAATCGTCGCATGTACGGTTAACTCTAGGGGCTGCTGACAGTACAAACTACAAAATCATTGACAAAAGACTCTTCGGGCGTTATGCAATGAAGGCCGCACCTCTCACATGTTGTATGAAAACGCATTAATTATAACAACCTCGCTACTCGTTAAATCAAGTTAAAAACTCATTATTAATTCATGAGGAAAAGTTTAAAGACAAAGAAAATCGGTGGTTTCATGTGTAATAAAAAAATCATATTAATATACATAAAATTTAGCTTTAATTTTCTCGCTTCGACAACGTTGATTTTTAAAATTACTTCGACAATGAACTCATAAGAACAATGAACTCATAAGCCATTTAAGACAGCCAGTGTTTTATCAGATATATTAAAGACACTCGGCTGTCGTCTCGTGTTTTATATCTGATATTAAAACACTCCTGCTCGTTTTTAAATAGTACTTAATGTCTCAATAATAAATGGGAATCGACTCATGAAGTCGGCAAATATAGTTCAACGAGTTATACAAGTTTTCTACGGAGTCGTGAAATAGAAATATCACGACCAAGGCAAGTTGAAAACCTTTGGAACACGCCTCTTCATTGATAAATAAACCTTGATAACCTTGCTGTATACCTTACTATGACCTTGTCAAATTTATGGACGATTTTCGACATTTTAAAACTTCAGCTATTTCCGCATTAAGCAGTATGATACCAAACATATCCTCGACAAATTTAAATTATGTTTTGATTTAATGACATTTGCTGTCCGCTGATGTTATTTAATTATTTCCTATCAGACTGAAAAGTAGTATATTTCCCTTCAAGATTGTTTGTGTTTAGAATTCGTGGTGTTTATTTTACTCACAGACACAGCTTTGTGTACTTTTCGATCTAATGGAAGCCAGTGGCCTTGGCCGTTCATTGTGGGGCGTGGCACAATATCAATACACACGTCGCCCTCAGCTCCATTCATGGAAAATGGTGCTTTTTCGCGCCATTACGGTAACACGACTAACACTGAACCTCTATAAAAGCAGTCACTGGACCTCCAGCGAGAGTAGGCCAGGATAAACGTAATAGAGTCATCCACAAATCCAGCCGTAAATTAATTAGATTAGGTTTAAAATGAAAATTATCTCTCCATCAGACTAGCGAGAACTTCAGCCGACCAAATGAGTTCCATGCCCTTCCAATTTGCTCCGTGGTGATTTATATGATAATACCTGCCACGAAGGAAGTTGTAGCATAACATTGGCTGATCGATGACCTTGATACGAGAACATTAACTCACACCAAGGGGTGAAAGAAAACTTTGAAACTATAACATACCGCAGGGAAGTGCAAATAATATGTATACATACTTGCATGCTTTATTTAAAGAGGGAAAAACAGTATTTACATAGTCACCACCAAGGTATTCTTCCCTATGTCCCTCATAAAAATGTTATATATAACTATATTAATATATGATTGTACATGTTTTTTATGACCTGATGCCAAAACATTGACGAAGCACACATGTTTGAAAATAGCACAGGAATTTTCATCCACATGTTGTACTTTGTGGTTGAGTTGGAGGAAGAACTCTTTATAAGTTTTATTATAAAAGATGAAACCGTATAATTTTCAATAGTTTTTTATATCGCTAGGTAAGGAATTGAAAATATTTACACCACTATAGGATATCGTAGCTTTACGTACTGATGTCGGTTTTAACTCAAGTCTGAACCTTATGTTAGCAATGGACACTTCGTGAAAAAAAGCAAACATATTTCGCAGATCAACTGGTAATGACATTTTCAAACATTTAAAAACCAGGAGAATTTTTCTCATCCTAATAATATTGTGAACAGACTGCTTTCGCTTTGAACTTTAATTGTGCAGCTTGACAATTTCCGTCCCTTTTAGCCCAACGCGCGCACATCGTGAAAATTGACCTACATTTCAACCCCGGCCCAGTCAACTTTTTTCGATAGATAGCGACATGTCGCTGTTATTATATCAACAGTAGCTACACAACAGGAGCTACGTCTACAAGTCACGTAGGTAAATCGATACGGTAATGGACAAACGTCCTTCAAGAAATCTTGCCTGCTATATTTGACCATTTAATTGTTCAGTGTTTTGTTTTAATCTTGTGTTTATGCTTGCGTTTAAAATTCCACCCAAAAAATTAACACATTAAGAGACGAAGTTCGAGGGTGCAAAAAAAAATTGAAAATGTACAAAATGTTTCACCAAGAGGAACCACCCAGAGGTAATTAATCTCAAGAGGGAAAAATTTTTATCTCATCTCAAATAACGCACTGGCACTTAACCAACAATTTTCTTAGAACGGTTTGAGTGACAGCCTTATTTAATTGCGTCATTCCAGACTTGTGACCCAAAGAATATTTGGCAAAAGTACAAATTTCTTTCAGCATCCCAGAAATATGATCTCCAACCTGTCTTAACAGAT